TTGCCACTGTCAACCAATGGGGCAAGAGCTTTTATAGGCAGAAGGGAGGAGGCAGCTACATACAGAAACAGCTCAGTCAGCTCTGACAGTCATATTCAAATTGGCTATTGGTTGTCTGACCAGCCTCATCTTGATTATTTTAGGTAGCTAACCTCCAGCCCATGGGTGAGAAAGATTCTCTGGAGAAGGAAATGGAAACCCACTCCAGTATTCTTGTCTGGAAAATCCCACAGGCTATATAGTCCAAGGGTCGCAAAGGGTCAGACATGACTTAGCGACCAAACCACCACCCCAATATTCAGTTCTAGGGTCAGTTTGTTTCCATTTCTTTGAGGCCGATTCTCAGAATTGTGGTAGCTCATGCTGTGGGTACAGTCTGGTCATCATGTAGTTAAATTCTTCACCTGTGTGCTTTAGTATCTATAAGACAGCTCACAGGATTGGCTCAAAATATTATCTCCAGCCCTTGAGAAGGAAATAAAGGTCCTTGACTAAGCTTACTGACTACATTATTACTATTTAGTCTCTTTTGACTCTTTTCCTTTGTTTCTGCATTTCTCATTTCACTGATTAAACTTATTCTTTGACTAAAGTTTTTCACAGATAAAAGGCAGGGAGAGGACATGATGGGGATGGGGGAGCAAGGACCATAGTGTCCTGTGCCATTTCAATAACCCCTTTTCCCTGATAATCCTCAATCCTGAGGAGTGACAGGTATAGAACAAGAAAGGGAATAAACTTTCATTTTACCTGGACAAACATCTGAAAATTGCTAGATATAACACAATGAGGATAATAATAAAAAAACAACTTTGCATTTTTTCTGAATCTTTTGTTTTTTCTTAATGGTTAAAGAAGATGTACAATGCATGTTTAATAGGTCAGAAAAGTCTGTTTTGGTTAGCATAAGGTTCAAATTAAATCATGTATAGGTCAGAATTATTTCCTGATACCTCAATATGTGAAAATTTCTTCCATCATTTTCCCCAATTAAGTTGCAACTCTTTCCACAGGAAGCATTCATAGTCAATATATTTTTCCAACATTGCCAGAGTGTTTCAGTTGCCTGCTCTGAGTCCATCCATGTCCCTCGATGCTAGGCCTCCTTTTTGTTATATATTTGCCTAGTTATCCACATTGGAGGAAAACTAATCAGGTATCATGAACAGGTTCAGAGGTATATTAATAGGGAAATGCTTTACAGGCTATATTTTTGGGGGCTCCAAAATCACTGCAGATGGTGATTACAGCCATGAAATTAAAAGACGCTTACTCCTTGGAAGGAAAATTATGACCAATCTAGATAGCATATTAAAAAACAGAGACATTACTTTGCCAACAAAGGTCCATCTGGTCGAGGCTACGGTTTTTCCAGCGGTCATGTATGGATGTAAGAGTTGGACTGTGAGGAAAGCTGAGCACCGAAAAATTGATGCTTTAGAACTACGGTGTTGGAGAAGACTCTTGAGAGTCCCTTGTACTGCAAGGAGATCCAACCAGGCCATCCTAAAGGAGATCAGTCCTGGGTGTTCATTGGAAGGACTGATGCTGAAGTTGAAACTCCAATACTTTGGCCACCTCATGCGAAGAAATGACCCATTGGAAAAGACCCTGATGCTGGGAGGAATTAGGGGCAGGAGGAGAAGGGGATGACAGAGGATGAGATGGTTGGATGGCATCACCGACTCAATGGGCATGAGTTTGAGTAAACTCCGGGAGTTGGTGATGGACAGGGAGGCTGGTGCTGTGATTCATGGGGTTGCGAAGAGTCGGACACGACTGAGCGACTGAACTGAACTGAATTTACAAGCTATACACTTTATCATTTATGCCCAATTGTTACACAAACATTATACATGTGCTTTAAGCAGTAAACTTAAAGCCAAGAGTATCACACTGTGACAACTTTATTGGACAAATTTTTCCATCCTAACCATTGGGATAAAAAAAGTATGATTAGAAACAAAACAATTACTTTCCATTAGAAATCTGTTACCAAAATCAAATCAGCGTTCCAGGAGAACTTTGCCTTCTTAATAGAAAGAAAAATCAAATTTAATCTTGCATCAGTTTACTATTACTAACAAGATTCATTTACCTAATTAAATTTCTGTCTAATCTTAATCCTGACAACATAAAAAATTCTTTGTTCAAAGTTCCTTTTTAACAAAGCATGTTTCTGTATCCAAATAAATTTGTCCTGTATTTCCCTATACAGAAACAAACTATTGTAGGACAAAATTATCATCATTTTCTCTCAACAAAAAAATCTGCTTTTTATACCTTCTCTTCTCCAACACATATCCTACTTATTTTACACACAGAAATGTTTCCCGTATAATTTTTACATATCATATTTTTTAACCCTTGGAACCTTAACAAAACCAAGTGATATATGATTACACCAGCATTTTCTGATTGACAAACTTAAGAAACATCTTCCATACCTCTAGATATACACTTTCTTCATACCGTAGTTTTTCTTTAATGGTAAAACATGCATGTTTAATAAAGTCAAACATCTTTAATTTCCCTCTTTATCTTACAAGAAGACAAAAGTAGGTAAATTTAGATTTGTTTGATTTGTAAATGCTTACATTTTTAAAGGCCAATTAAAGCAGTCCTTTACAAATTAACCTCAGCAATATTTTCCAGAGACAAAAACATATATCTAAGCATACAAACATCCAGACTGAGATCTCATTGTTTCATCTTTTTACATTTCATAAATCAGTCATTGCAATTAAACTCATCAGTTTATAAGTAACTGCCATAATAACCAAATTCACACACTCAGTTTTAAAGGCTTCACTCTCTCTTTTTTTTTTCTCTTGACTTGAACTTTTACAATTAACTGAAGGCTGAAGTCCCAGGCAAATGTACTGTTTGTATTTCAAGAACATGATAAGAATTAACTTTAAATGTTCTGCTAGGCATATATTTGTTTTCTCAGGGTCTGAAAAAAATGGGAAAAAAAAGCTTTCTCTAATTGCATATACAAAAAGAACATGTTTTTGAAATTTCAAGAGTTTCATCTTAAACAATTTTCCAGAGTCTAAAGAATACTGTTGCCATACACTGTCCAAAAAAAAAAAAACTATCTTTTTCAGTCATAATTTTATGACCAAATTTTTTCTTAATTAATTGAACCTGAATTTCCTATTTCATTAAGGCAACAAGAGCAGCAACCATACAAATGGAGTAGACACTCACACATCAAATGACAGAGCTGTCACAAACCCTCTCCAAAGGTGACCAATATGGACTCCCAAACACTTCCCCAAAACAAATGGTCCTCAATGAAGTCAAACATCAGAACCAATTGGCGAAATGCCAAAATGGTACTCGGTGCTCACAAACAGTGCTCAACAGTAGACAGGTGACAGAACCAGTTGGCAAGAACGCCCAAATAGCACTTGATGCTCACAAACAGTCTTCAGCGGTGGACAGACACCAGAATCAATTGGCAAGAATACCCAAACAGCAGTCTGTGCTCAGAAACAATCCTCAACAAAAAATACACATCAGAACCAACTGGCAAAATACTCAAATAGTACCTCATGTCCCAAATAATTTTTTTTTTTTTTTTTTTTTCCATTTATTTTTATTAGTTGGAGGCTAATTACTTTACATCATTACAGTAGTTTTTGTCATACATTGAAATGAATTAGCCATGGATTTACATGTATTCCCCATCCCGGTCCAAATAGTTCTTAACATCAGACACACTTGAGAACCAAGGGGCACGAACGCCCGAACAGCACTAGGCCTCACAAATGGTCCTCAGTGGCAGTTAGACATCGAACCGATTGGCAAGAACGCCCAAATAGCACTGACGCTCACAAACGGGAAGGTTGCCTGCGTGTGTGCACACCAGCGGACTTACCCAGTCTTGGAGGTCGTCCCCAGTGCAAGTGTCCATTCCACCCAGACAAAGCATAAGTTGGCAGCAAGTGCCAAACAGGGGAGAAACAGGGAGGATCCTCAAAAGAAGTCGTTTTTGAGGGCTGCTAGGAATGCACCCTCCACCCCCCTGCCCGGAGAAGGCAATGGCACCCCACTCCAGGCCTCTTGCCTGGAAAATCCCATGGACGGAGGAGCCTGGTGAGCTGCAGTCCATGGGGTCGCGAAGAGTCAGACACGACTGAGCGACTTCACTTCCACTTTTCACTTTCACGCATTGGAGAAGGAAATGGCAACCCACTCCAGTGTTCTTGCCTGGACAATCCCAGGGACGGGGGAGCCTGGTGGGCTGCCGTGTGTGGGGCCGCACAGAGTCGGACACGACTGAAGCGACTCAGCAGCAGCAGCAGGAATGCCCCCCAGGCCTCTCCAGTGGCTCAGCCGTAAGGAATCTGCCTCCAGTGAAGGAGACTCCGGAGGTGCTGGTGAGATCCATGGGTTGGGAAGATCCTCTGGAGGAGGGCGTGGCAGCCCACTCTCGTGTTCTTGCTTGGAGAATACCACAGACAGAGGAGTCTGGTGGGCTGCAGTCCCCGAACCCTGCCTGGTGCATGGCTGAGTCACGGGCATCTGCTGACAGAGGCTCAAAACCTCCTTAAGGCCTTGGTCCCGACTCCTCAGCCCCCAGGCCAGCAAGTGCCGACTGACCACCTCCACCTGGTAGTTCAACTTCATCTCACTGGAATGCCTTTTAGCACTCATTCTAAGGTGAGCATTTTAATATGTGCTCCTGCAGAAGACAAGGTTCCTTCCTTAAAGTATATAAAGTGAAAGTGAAGTTGCTCAGTCCTGTCCGACTCTTTGCGACCCGGTGGACCCACCAGGCTCCTCCGTGCATGGGATTCTCCAGGCAATAATACTGGAGTGGGTTGCCATTTCCTGCTCCAGGGGATCTTCCCCACCCAGGGATCGAAACCAGGTCTCTCACGTTGCAGGCAACCTCTGAGCCACCAGGGAAGCGTAAAAAAGGCAAAAATGTAATTACGTCATGGGTTATAATAGAGGTTCTTTATTACAGACTTGTGGGGTTCTACAGGAAGAAATATCAGTTGTGCCTGGATGAATTAGGAAAGCCTTCACAGGTGAAAATATTCTTGCACTAGACCTTGCAGGTCTAGCAGAAGTTCAATAGGCAATTGAGGGGAAGTATAGGCTTTCTAGGGCTTCCCAGGTGGCACTAGTAGTAAAGAATTTGCCTGCCAATGAAGGAGACTAGAGATATGGATTTGATCCCTGAGTTGGGAAGATTCCCTGGAGGAGGGCATGGCAACCCACTTAAGTATTCTTGCCTGGAGAATCCCATGGACAGAGGAGCTGGTGGGCTGCAGCCCATGGGAGTCAGACATGACTAAAGAGGCTTGGCATGCACACATAGGCAGTCTAAGGAGAAGGAAAGACAGGCAGTAATGCTAAGGCAGGCATGAGACAGTAATAAATTTTAGAAGCATATTAAAAATGTAATATGACTTGACTACACAAATTTCAGAAATTCAGTGATGCTAGAGTTTAGGCAAAACTCAGATTGTAAAGGTCATAGGATTATAAATGGTGAATGTGCTAGGATTACACATTTTATTCAAATTAAGTGCCAGCACCCTGAAGAGTTGTAGTATGGAGAAGTCAATGTCATATTTACTTTTAGTATGCCCTCAGGCCCTGTCTTCCCAGAGCAAGGGTATGGAGGATGGAAAAAATAATGTTAAATGAAGATGTTCCAAACTTTCTAACACTACACCAGGATAACTGGTTCATACCCTGTGATATATTGCTAAAGAGAGGTGGCTTAAATTTGAGAAAATATTAATTTAGAAAGTTATACAGTATTGTCTTTTGTTACTTATAATTCTGAAATGGGTTAGTATAATTTTAAAAAAGAGACGTTCTATAACCTAATAAGTTATCAGGATGCTAAGCTCTTATTCTCACATTTTGAGGTTTGCTCCTTAATACAGGGTGTTGTGTTGGTGTTTCCATTGGCAAAACTTTTGTTTCTCGTAACATTTACTATTGTTATATCCTAAGGCATCTTCCCGCCAGGACAGATGCCACATTGGTTTCCCTAAGCACCTCACTCTGTTTTGCTGTTACCTGTCGCAGTAGTTTCATACCTGAGGCCAATTTGTAATTCTCTCCTGTAGTTAAGCCAGCTGTTTTGTAATAAGTTTGCTGATTTCTCTGAATGGATAGTACAGAGAACAGTCTTTTACATTATCATAACACTTGTAAGACAAGAGCCCTAAAGTATTTGAGAAAATCTACGGTATGAGATAGCATAAAATATTTCTCTAATTTCAAAGTATTCTATAACATGGAAATGCAATAATGAGGAATAATGGCAATCACTTTCTTATTACTAAGGAGAAATGGTCTTTAAAATCAGATTAAAGAAAATGAATGTTGGGACATCAAGACTATACATCTGTTTAAATCCCAGAACATAGCAGGTGAAGAAAAGGAAACTGGTAATGTCAAGCTTTAGCTACTTAAATGTGAAGGTATCTGTTTTTCTAATCAGCCTAATAGGTTAGGAATAAGGATGCATTAAACTACCATTTATCTTTTCAAATTATATTCCATTTCTATCATTTCATTAATAAAACCCATGCTTTTAAATTGCATGTGACATCTCTGAGCTATATCTAAACTGAGTTATTAAACCCTAAGCATTTCTATAAAATTATGTTTTGTTAAAAAAAAGACTAATATGTAGAGAAACTTAGCAAACATTACACTGATTTTTAGTGTCTTTCAAAAACTTGAAAATGAGAGGAATTTTCTAGGTCTTCAAAGGAAACCAGATCTGAAAGAGACACGTGCACTCCAATGTTCATCGCAGCACTGTTTATCATAGCCAGGACATGGAAGCAACCCAAAAGCATAATTTTGTATTGTATATTATTTCCAATATAGAAGTTACAATTTTCTAATCATCATATTTTTTAACAAAACATATTTCATTGAAAACAGTTTTATATACAAGTCAATGTTTTGGGTTATTTTATCCCTATATCAATTTTTGAGAGGTATCAAAATGAAATTACTCCACTTGAGTTCATGAAATGATGCAGTAAGCCCTTTTATACTATGATTGATGAATTACTGTAAGATGCTACTTGTCTCCTAGTGTTATGTTCCAGATGTTAAATATTATGAGCAATCTCTAGTACTTATAACTGGAAAATATCTTAGAAAAAGACTATTATTAAATTTTAGAAAGGAAATCTAAAACTGAGGACAGATTTGTTACACATTTATTTCATACTTAAAATATATTATCTTCCATTAGTAAATTGTATTGTGATGAAATCATAATCAACATTTTCTTCTAATAAATGTTATTAAAAAGTTGGACCAAAGTTCTCCAGCAAATCATCTGTGATAGTCTAGTCAAACCTGTCATATGTATAAGTGGAAGGTCAGTAGCCACCATAAACTTTTATTCAGAAGAGCTAATAGGATTTTCAGCTAAAATAAAGGCCCAAGACAAAAAGAAAAAAAAATCCTCCTCATTTATAAACTCCTCCATTTATAAACTGCCACATTTGTATAGATTGGCAAAGGCCAGTATTAACACAACCTTACTCTTATTCTTTAAAAGTTTTACATTTTCAAGGAAATAAATGTAGACTAATTTAGTGATTCTCCTACTATTATATTTCTTTAACTTCAGATATATCAAAATCATTTAGAGAACTTGTTTAAATAGTATAGTCTGCTTATAGCAGTATATTAGGCCTTCTTGCTGGCTTGGTGTGTATTTGATTTTTGCTCAAGAATAATTTATATATTTGGTAGATGGACTTATAGTTCTCTGTATGACTATTAGTTTAATAAAAGTAATTGTATTATTCAATTTCCCATACCAATGCTATTTTTCTACTTATTTTATTATTTTTGAGGATGATATGTTAAAATTCCATTACAATTTTTCATTTCTGAAATTCTCTCAAATTCTTCTAGGGGTTTTATATATTTGAGACAATATTATTGAATTCAACTATGTTATTGGTCATTATATTTTGCTGTTGTTTTCATCTATTTTTCTAGTATATAATAACTGTTTTCTCTTTATGATGGTTCATCACTTAAATTTCAATTCAATAGGTAGAAAATTTGCTACCTTGTCTTTTTAAAAAATGTTAATTGATAGTTTTCTCAATCTTTCACTTTCAATATTTCATATCTTTTTAATATGGCTATTTTAGATCAGTCAGTCAGTTCAGTTGCTCAGTCATGTCAGACTCTTTGTGACCTCATGAACTGCAGCACTCCAGGCCTCCCTGTCCATCACCAACTCCCGGACCCAAGCTCATGACCATTGAGTCAGCGATGCCACCCAACCATCTCATCCTCTGTCGTCCCCTTCTCCTCCTGCCCTCAATCTTTCCCAGCATCAAGGTCTTTTCAAATGAGTCAGCTCTTCTCATCAGGTGGCCAAAGTATTGAAGTTTCAGCTTCAACATCAGTCCTTCCAGTGAACACCCAGAACTGATCTTCTTTAGGATGGATGGGTTGGATCTCCTTGCAGTCCAAGGGACTCTCAAGTCTCCTCCAACACCACAGTTCAAAAGCATCAATTCTTCGGTGCTCAGTTTTCTTTATAATCCAACTCTAACATCTATACATGACTACTGGAAAAAGCATAGTCTTGACTAGATGGACATTTGTTGGCAAAGTAATGTCTCCGCTTTTTAATATGCTGTCTAGGTTGGTCATGACTTTCCTTCCAAGGAGTAAACATCTTTTAATTTCATGGCTGCAGTAACCATCTGCAGTGATTTTGAAGCCCCAAAAAATAAAGTCAGCCACTGTTTCCACTGTTTCCCCATCTATTGTATATAAGTTATGGCTATTTTATAATAATTGGATTTGGATGTCTTCCTTTTATTTCTTCAACATGGTTATATTTATAAATATCTGTAATTATATCAGGAATTATTCATACTATATAATTTTGTTTATTTATAAAGCATTTTTCCCTCTCATTTTGCATCTTTAGTTCTATAGACAGACTATGCTTTTAGTTTTAAAGCACCATATTCTATTTCTTTTCTGTTTGAGTTATTCTTATTTATTAAGAGCCATAAGTATACTTATTTTTCTTCTCATTGTGTGAAACATTTCTCTATGTATTCTGTGTAAATAAGAATAGGACCTTGTCAGACAGTTATCCAGCTCTGAATTCTTCTCCCATGGCCAAATTCCATATTGTCTGGAATTTTAGTTTTGATAGTTATCGATATACTCTGTCTTATTTGTCACTGCTATTTTAGAGAACAGCAAATTTCCTTAAAATATTTGTTCACTCTTTTCGTATCACGTTTTTCTTTCTCCTCTATTTATTGATTTTAATGCTAAAAATACAAGTTTTTATCCACCCCCTTTTTTTCCCAAAAGGAATCAAGTGATAAACCATTTCATGTCTTATTTACTTGAGATTGTTACTTATTTATTTTACTACATATGATGATTTTCCTGGGTTTGTTATTGCTTACTGTTTCTTCTCTAACCTCTCAATTATATAAAGGAATTTTATATTAATCAGACTTTCATTCTTTCTAAGTTATCTTTGTTTTTTTTTCTCTGAAAGTAATACATTGTTCTTTGACTTGATATCTTTAAATTGCACTATCATTTCTTTGCTCATGATATGTGTTCTCACAATCTGAGTTCACCAATATTTTTCTGTTTTGAAAAATTCTCTAGGCTTTCACTGGTATCGATGAAATAAGGCATTTTCTGGATTTCTTTCTTAGTGCTTATACATCTCAGATATTTTGTGTTTTTCTTTTTGAGTTCATCTTTTATTCCTTTATATCTGTGTTTTGCTAGTAATAGCTACCTGAGGGTAGGTGACAGTAATAGCTACCTGAGGGTAGGTGACAGAGCCTATCTTCCAACCTTTCCAGGTTATTCCCAAGAGTGTTAGGAGGTAAGCATTTTGCCTTAGAGATGATAGCCTAAAGGTTTGCAATTTGAGATTAACCACTTTCTTATTTATACTCCAGGTATCCCTATGTCCCAAGAAAACTACTGTATTTTTATTCCAGGGACTAACCACTTCCTTCATTCATATCTAGGTGCTCTTTAGGGTCATTTACTTACTCTTGATATGGAGAAGAAAGGAGAAAGAATCCTCAGCGATATCTGCTAATTCAGAGCCTTAATAGAGGATCAAGACACTGCATAGATACTGACTTTGTTAGGAAAATATAAAAGCCAGTATTTAAATTTTAAGGAGGACTTCATTTCCTAATATGATGGTGAGCTGACATCTGTCTCTGGTTCTTCCTTCCTAAAGAAACCCTGAGATGCTGCACAAGAAACATAAGAAATACAAGTTACAGGTAATTATGATGCTCCAAGATATGGTGAATAACTTACTGAAACTCTGAAGGTATCTTGGGAAGACTACGGGTGTTTGAGTACCAGGAAACAGGCAGAAAGGCTAGGCTGGAGCAGATGTTCAGAGGTCACAGATGTGGGGTAGTTTACAGAAAGCTTTTTCTTCAAGTTCAATCCATAATTCTCCCTTTCACTGACTTTCAACTCCATCAAGTGTCCTGGACAGATCACTGCATAGCTAGCTAGAAGATTAAATAACCATAAGCTTATAACAGTTCAGTTCAGTTCAGTTGCTCATTCGTGCCCAACTCTTTGTGACCCCCTGGACTGCAGCATGTTCAAATAAAAGTTAATGTATATGAATTACATTGTTACCATTTATAAGTACTAGACTAAACCTAAATGTCACTATCTAATATCCATATTTTATTAATTTTGAGATGAATAACACCATGGAGACTACATATTAAAAATAAAATCATTGCTAATATTTTTTGTGTGTTTAAGAGAGATATGAATCCACATAAACTAACAGGTAGGCCTCTAGTTGTACCCTCCTCTCAACTTTCCCAATCTAGGGCTTAACAGTTCTTATAAGAAATGTCTCTGACAGCTATTCTTGCAGTCAGCCTAGTTTAAATCCTTGTGTAAATTACCTTTTTTTTTTTGAAGATTTTTCTCTTTATCCTTGAAGTGCTTAAATTTCACTATGACATGTTTAGGTATGTATGTGTTTTTATTTAATTTGCCCAGAATTTGATGTTTTATTTCCATATGATTACTCATGTCTTCCTTTGGTTTAGGTAATTCTCAGTTACGATCTCTTTAAATATGAACTCTAATAAGATGTGGGCTTCTCGGGGGGCTCAACAGTCAAGGATCTTCCTGCAATGCTGAAGATGCAGTTTCAGCCCCTGGGTCAGGAAGATCCCCTGCATAAGGGTATGGCAATCCACTCCAATATTCTTTCCTGACGAATTCCATGGACAGAGGAGACTGGTGGACTACAGCCCACGGGGTTGCAAAGAGCTAGAGATGACTGAAGCAACTAAACACACGTGCACAATCAGATGTATGCCCAATATGTCCCTGATTATCACTGGTTTTTTTATGGAGCTATAAATCTCTTCTTGTATAATCAAATACTATATTGTAAAGATTATGTAAATATAACATAACTATATTTGTCATAGATATATCCCATCCTGGACTAGAATTCTTTGCTTTCTAGGCATGTTGGTCAACTATCTTTTTATTTTAGCCTTTTTCCATAGTTTCTTTTTTTTTTCCTTTCTCTCATAGTCTATCTCCTGTTTTTCAAAACATTGGCATTTTTTGTTTTTATCTTTCTCTCTGTTTCTTCATTTTGTGTGTATGTATCCCCCAGCAGAATTCTAATAAAAGGTGTGTTAAATAATTGAAAATTACTTAATTTTATACCCAAATTTGACTTGTAGTTTCACTAAACCTTCTGAGTTGAAGATTATTTTACTTTAGTATTTTAAACATCATTGTCTTTAATTTCTAGTATTGCTATTTAGAAGTGTAATGACATATCAGTTAATGCATTGTTATATGTGCAATCTATTTTTTCCTTTTCAAACCTTTTAGAATATTTCACTTATCCATGATGTGTTGAAAACTTGTGATAATGTGTTTTTCTGTTGAACTTTATTTTTTTTTTATTGATTGTACTAGGAACTTAATGGCCCTGTCACAGTGAAAATTGCCACTTACTGTTTTGGGCATTTATTTTTCAATTCTGATCCATTGAGATATTTATTTTGAGTATCATTTTTCACTTTGACATTTGAGAAAGTATTTATTATTTCTATGTATTAAAATTAAAGGCAATTTCATCCATAATGTTACAGAGTCATTATTCAGTTCAGTTCAGTTACTCAGTCGTGTCTGACTCTTTGCGACCCCATGAATTGCAGCACGCCAGGTCTCCCTGTCCATCACCAACACCCGGAGTTTACTCAAATTCATGCCCACTGAGTCAGTGATGCCATCCAGCCATCTCATCCTCTGTCGTCCCCTTCTCCTCCTCCCCCAATCCCTCCCAGCATCAGGGTCTTTTCCAATGAGTCAACTCTTCACATGAGGTGGCCAAAGTATTGGAGTTTCAGCTTCAGCATCATTCCTTCCAATGAACACCCAGGACTGATCTCCTTCAGGATGGACTGGTTGGATCTCCTTGCAGTCCAAGGAACTCTCAAGAGTCTTCTCCAATACCACAGTTCAAAAGCATCAATTTTTTGGTGCTCAGCTTTCTTCACAGTCCAACTCTCACATCCATACATGACCACTGGAAAAATCATAGCCTTGACCAGACGCAGACCTTTGTTGGCAAAGTAATGTCTCTGCTTTTTAATATGCTGTCTAGGTTGGTCATAACTTTCCTTCCAAGGAGTAAGCGTCTTTTAATTTCATGGCTGCAGTCACCATCTGCAGTGATTTTGGAACCCAGAAAAATAAAGTCTGACACTCTTTCCACTGTCTCCCCATCTATTTGCCATGAAGTGATGGGACCAGATGCCGTGACCTTAGTTTTCTGAATGTTAAGCTTTAAGCCAACTTTTTCACTCTCCTCTTTCACTTTCATCAAGAGGCTTTTTAGTTCCTCTTCACTCTCTGCCATAAGGGTGGTGTCATCTGCATATCTGACATTATTGATATTTTTTCCCTGCAATCTTGATTCCAGCTTGTGTTTCTTCCAATCCAGCGTTTCTCATGATGTACTCTGCATATAAGTTAAATAAGTATGGTGACAATATACAGCCTTGAGGTACTCCTTTTCCTATTTGGAACCAGTCTGTTGTTCCATGTCCAGTTCTAACTCTTGCTTCCTGACCTTCATACAGGTTTCTCAAGAGGCAGGTCAGGTGGTCTGGTATTCCCATCTGTTTCAGAATTTTCCACAGTTTATTGTGATCCACACAGTCAAAGTCTTTTGTGTAGTCAATAAAGCAGAAATAGATGTTTTTCTGGAACGCTCTTGCTTTTTTGATGATCCTGCAGATATTGGCAATTTGATCTCTGGTTCCTCTGCCTTTTCTAAAACCAGCTTGAACATCTAGAAGTTCTCGGTTCACGTACTGCTGAAGCCTGGCTTGGAGAATTTTGAGCATTACTTTTTTGTAATTTTTATGTAATTTTGAGCATTACAGAGTCAACATACTACAAGTAATTCTAATTAGGTTCCACTTCTTTATTAGGTTCCTTCAATCAGTCCTTAATAGTGATCTTCCTAATGCTCAAATCTGATTATAAAATTCTTATCCTGAATTACTTCAGAAATTTAGGAATTTGCCAAGCTCTAAATTCCGTTGCACAGAAGACAAAACCAAATTCCTTAAATAGTGGACAAAACTCCTTATGACCTGAACTTGCTTAGTTCTTTGTTCTCATGGAACTTGATTTTTCCCACTGATGTACTCAACATTCACCACACCTAAATTGATTATTCTTCTTCACAAATTACTGATTCATTCAGATGCTGCCCAAAGGTGATATTCTTCTCTAAATTTTGCCAATTGAATTCCTGCTCATCAGGCAAAATTTAATTCAAGCATTGCTTCTTTTAGACAGTGTGATTTGAATCTTCAATCTAAGCTAAATGAGTTTCCTAATAACCTACATGCACTTCTATTATACTTTTTGAAAACTTTGATTTTTTATTTAGCTTTGTGACAAAATGATATACTCATTGAGTTTCAACATTAGGGAAGAATAGCTATAACAAACCTAGACAATGTACTAAAATGAGGCATCACTTTGCTGACAAAAGTCCATCTAGTCAAAGCTATAGTTTTCTCCAGTAGTCATGTATGGATGTGACAGTTGGACTATAAAGAAGGCTGAGCATCAAAGAATTGATGCTTTCAAACTATGGTGTTGGAGAAGACTCTTGAGAGTCCCTTGGGCAGCAAGGAGATCAAACCAGTCAATCCTAAAGGAAATCAACCCTGAATAGTCACTGGAAAGACTGGTGCTGCAGCTGAAGCTCCAGTACTTTGGTCAGCTGATACAAAGATCTGACTCATTGGAAAAAACCCCAGGTTGAGAAAAATGAGGGCAAGAGGAGAAGGGGAAAACAGAAGATGAGACGGTTGGACGGCATCACTGACTTAATGGACATGAGTTTGAGCAAATTCAAAGTTTGAGATAGTGAAGGACAGGGAAGCCTGGCATGCTGCAATCCATGGGATCACAAAGAACTGGATATGATTTAGCTACTGAACAACAACAATCACTGTACACTTAAGCAAATGAGTACTACCTATGACACAGTAGACCACTGTCTTTGTTTGCTTTTTGAGAATAGAAAAAATTTAAAATGTTGTTTATAATATAAATGAACACAAAATTACAAATATATGTATTTAGTACTGGATTCAACTTGAAGAGGTCTTTACTAAAGTTATAAAATTGTGAAAAATAATTAAGGAAAATTGTAAAAGTAGCTTTTTATATCACTTTACTTTAAAGGTTTTCTCATGGAATGAAGGAAAATACAGATTGGAAACTACCAAAAAGCTTTTATGCATACCAGATGCTAGGATGAACAGAGTCCTTTTCAAATCCCAGAGAAATTACAATTTAAATAGCTTACAAAATTGATGCTTCATTGAAAAATACTGACTCTGTAGAATAGAGATATGAGAAAGTGTATGCGCTTTTTTAAAAAATGTGAAACTAGAGAAGTATCTCATTGAATTTTTTCAATATAAAGAATCCTAATCTCTGTTATATGTACAAAGTAGCATATTTCATTTATTTTATTAGGTGGTAATACTTAATTTTCCAGTTGCTATAGTTTCAGGATTTTGCTATTGAGTATTTTGTAAGATTTTATATAGCATTTTCTTTAAACTCATATAATGACATTCTCTTATGTGGATTTTAATTTCTAGAGAAGAAAAATATAATATTTTTGTTATAAAAATATAACATATTTTTATATGTTATATAAAACATATATATAAAAATATATATAATATATTTGTTTATTTTTCAAATTTATTACCCCCCTTTTTTCTGATAGGTTTACTCAGATTTGGCTTGGTAACATGCTTTCTTCAGTGGATACTATCATGCATGAGTTTCATGGACACTACACTTCACAGAAAAAAAATTAAAAAAAAAAACAACTAAGAATTTATTGGGCAAAAATTTACAAAAATAATTAGCAGAGTCAAATATATGGTTCTTTATATTTTTCCTGGCCCAAAGAGAACTGCCTAGATTGAGACTGTCTGGACTACATACTTCATGGACAGGATTATGGTAAAGAAAGATTTCTCAAATGATCTAAGCATTTTAGATCATTTCTGAAAGGGAGTAGAGAAGATCTATGTAACTTTGTAACAAAGGAGGCTTCTTGTGTGGAAATAGTGACTTTATTAGGAGGAAGCCCTCCAGGATGCAGACTCTGGTATTGGCCCATTCTTTCAAATGACTCAGAAGCACTATGTTAGCTTTCAGCCTGTTTTGTTAAGTTACTATAAAGGATGAAAGAAGCAAGTTCTGTTTTATTTGTCTTTCTAAAATTAAAGTACTGTTGATTTGTCAAACGAGCTGTATTTTTCTGATTTGTGCGCAAACCAAGAAATGTCCCTGCCTTTAGGTAGCTTTCATTGTCCTGAAGGAAAACAACAGGAATATTAATTAATTAGTACATGACTAAAGGAATAATCAGTAAATCACTAAATATAATGTAGTACAAATTGCTTTGCATATAGTTAAAATTAGATAATGTGGGGAAAAAAAATGTTACTAGGTAACTGCTTGTTTAAGTGGCATACCAAAGACTGTTAGTGATCAGCAATATTCTTGTTTTTCTCTTCAGTCTGGGAAAACCACTAGGTTATATTTTCCAACCTCTTTTCTTTAGTATGGTTATGTAACTGAATTCTGGCCAATGGAATCAGAGAAAATCGATTAACTCTACCTGGTTCATAAAAGGACCCTGTGCAATTCTCCACAAACTCTCCTCCCTGAAGATGATATAGTCCAGATACAGAAGATTCAGGGTGGAGGGAACGCAGGAGCTTCTATAGGCCCTATAAGATATTGGAGCCACTAAATTGAAGAAGCACCTGGAAAATTCATGGGGCTGATCAAATTCTTAACATGTGCATGAATATACATAAACACACATATAGATTTGGTGAATTAAACAGAATATATAAGTGAGAAATAAACCTCATGTGTGTGTGTGTGTGTGTATGGGGGATTGTAAGCTTGAGAGTTTGGACTTTTTTGGTATGGCAAATGATTATATAATGATATGAATTTAAAATTATGATCAAATAAAAGAACCATCCATATACAAATCATGGGTAAGGGATTTCTCAGAGGTGGAGAAGGACAATCTACATACAATCAATGTAAAGAAGACTGACATGGGATGAGCAAAGGGTGAGCTAGTATGTGAAGAGGCCAGAGAATCAGTGGAATTATATTACAGGCCAAAGCAGAGTATCAGTATGATTTTGTTGTAAATGTGAGGAAATCTCATTGAAAAGTTATAAAAAAGAGGGTAATACTCCAAGCAATATTTCTAAAATATAATTTTTATCCTATTGTGGAGAAAACAGAACTGTTCAGATACAAAATGAAAAACTATTCAGAGTGCTATGGTAGTAGTCCAAATGAGAAATAAGGATGGTTTGGTCTAGCTGGTCTTAGTAGAGACTGAAACAAGTGGATGGATTTTATATACACTTTAGAAGTAAAATGAATAGAATTAATTGGGACTTCCTTGGTCCAGGGGCTACTCTGCACTCCCAGTGCAGGAGGCTGGGCTTGGGTTCCTGGTCAGGGAACTAGATCCCATGTGCCACAACTAAGTGTTTACATGCTTCAGCTAAAGATCCCTCGTGCTGCAATTGAGACATGGATTGCAAATAAATATTAAAAAAAAAATAGTTTCTGCTAGTGAACTGAACCTGCCATAGATTTTGGGCTTGGTCAACTGATTATATAATGGTGTGGTTTACCAGGGTGGAAAAAAATAAAGAAAGATCAGATTGGGAGTGGAAATTGTTTAAGCATTCTGCTTTTCACATGGTAAGTTTTAGGTGCTCATAGATCATGCATCTGAAGATGCTAAGTGGACAGCTGGATACTGTATAAACATCTTGAGCTGAAGAGAAGACAGTGTTGAAGAGAGATATTTGGGATTCACTGACAAGTGAAGTAACTGCTGAGAAAGTTGAATGACGTCACAGGTGGAGAGTGTGCAGATAGTGAAAAGGTGATAGGGACAAGACCCAGGAGACACTTCAACACTTGGAAGTCAAGCAGAAGATGACAAGCTGACAAATGAGCTTGAAAAGGAGTAGCCAGTGAATTAGAAAGGACATTTCTTATGGCAGATAAAAGAGAGATTTTTCTAGAATGGTTAAGAAGACTAAAAGCTACTCAGGAGCCAAGTAAAGTAAAATCAGAGAAGTGACCATCAGATTTCACAAGGATAGAGACTCATGGTATGTTTCATAGGTAGTTTCTTTAGTGTTTGGTCATGAAACAATGGTGTGGGTTAAGACAATGCCATGTGAGGAAGTGTAAATAGCAACAAGTTACTACTCCTTTTAAGGAGCAATGATGTGCAGGGTAATGAAAAGGTGGTAGATGGTGGCAGAATGATAAAAAATTAATTTTTATGAGTATCTTTTTTTTTCCCATTTATTTTTATTAGTTGGAGGCTAATTACTTTACATCATTGCAGTAGTTTTTGTCATACATTGACATGAATCAGCCATGGATTTACATGTATTCCCCATCCCGGTCCCCCCTCCCACCTCCCTCTCCACCCGATCCCTCTGGGTCTTCCCAGTGCACCAGGCCCGAGCACTTGTCTCATGCATCCACCCTGGGCTGGTGATCTGTTTCACTATAGATAACATACATGTTTCGATGCTGTTCTCTTGAAACATCCCACCCTCGCCTTCTCCCAGAGTCCACAAGTCTGTTCTATACATCTGAGTCTCTTTTTCTGTTTTGCATATAGGGTTATCATTGCCAGCAACCTAGATGCCCATCAGCAGACGAATGGATGAGGAAGCTGTGGTACATATACACCATGGAATATTACTCAGCCATTAAAAAGAATTCATGTGAATCAGTTCTAATGAGATGGATGAAACTGGAGCCCATTATACAGAGTGAAGTAAGCCAGAAAGATAAAGACCATTACCATATACTAACACACATATATATGGAATTTTTATGAGTATCTTAAGGAATGCTTGTATGTTGAAGAGAATATGAACAAAGGTAAAAATTAGGGAAGAAATATCCTGGAGAGTATAAAACTGTCAGAATTCAGTCATAATAGATGACTTCTACAGTGCAAATGGGGAATAGACTTTGGTGCGAACAGGACATTTACTCCAGTGTAACAAGAGGAAAGAACTAGTTTACCAATAATTTGACCATATAATGATGATCTAAAGAGATATTTCTATAGTTGCTACTAAAATTCAGAAAGCTGCTCTGGTATTTCCTTTATGAAGCCTAGGTCTTCAGTTCTTACTTTAAATCTCTGTATTACCCCATGTCCTGCCAATATATTTTATTTTTCTTTAATTAAGAGTTAACTAACTCTTTTGCTTTGTAAAGAAAACTCCAACAGATAAAATGTCAGTGCTATGTGAAGATACCAGTCTTCATGAAAATTTGAGAAGCATTAGGTGGAAGGATTTTTTTGTACTAAAATATCTTCTCAAGCTTCCTCAAACAGATCCACGGATTCTAGAACTAAAGGATATTCATCAGGGTCTCAAAGACTACATAGTTACAGAAAGCTCATCATTGATGTGAACTGTAAAGATAGTCAGGGTAAGGTGAGTAGGTATTAAGCAATGGACTGATTATCTCTTCCCTCTCTCCATTTCAATAGGTAAGAAATAGTTCCCAGCCTCTTTTATGACATTAATGAAAGTTATTTTGCATACAAAACATTTTTCTGTGATCAAGGTTGATATTTTAATGTGAAAACAAAAGTCAGAAGAATTGAATTTATCTAGGGCACTGCTTTTTCCCCATTACTTTAGCTATGGAACTGATTCAGTGAATGCAAACATGCAAAAACATATTCTGTAAAGTTAAAAATTGAACAGATTTGCTTAAATTAAGAAAGGGTATCCACAAACCCAACTTTAGTTAGCTTCTCTCTCAACCCTATCCATAGACTGCATAAACTTGGGGCTCTATTGGAGACCATGGTTTGGAAAACTACACATCTATATAGTAGAAGGAATTTATCTATTTATCTAAAATCCATCTATCTATTTATCTATCATCCATCTATCTACTTTCCAAATGTTAAAAAAAATAACACGAGTGAATATTTTTAATGTGTTACAGTACAAGTAGGTTCCTTGATCAAAATGCAAATCAGAACTGAAAGTGCTTAGTGAATTTGCTTCTGATTATACAACTATAAACTATAATTTGAATGGTTTGAATACATGCTCAAAGCCTTAAATTAAGTAGTATCCACCAATTCAACAAATCATATGGATCATTACATGCTAATTATATGCATTTTAACTTTATTACTTATATTGTTTTTCTTTTTGTGTTGATGCAGAATAGCAGTGTCCAAACAAATGTGTGGGTGATAATACTAGTATATCATTATCTCAATAATGAGTAAGGTTGATTCAAGACAAGATGGGCTGGCTCTCCTCCTCCCTGACTATTTATTGTCTGTGCTTCAAAATATGTGCTCATTAAGAGTGAGTTTTTCAGATGGGGAAGAACATTATTTAGTCAAGAGCACATTAAGCGCAACCTATCAAATTATTTTTTGTACATTTTATGATGAGTGCCTTTGCCTCCTAAGAGAAAGTTTTATGTGGGCATGAACCCTTATTGCTCAGTTATCTTCAAAAGAGGTTCTAAAAGTTAGAGGGGTTAAGAATTGTATTCTTAAGATAATTAGCTATGGCATTTGTTTAAAAAATAGCTAAATCAACTTGCCCACTCTTATACATAGAACCATTCATCAGAGAACAGATGGTCCCCTAAAAGTGAAACTAAACAATTCTCAAAATATGACAATCCATTTATCTTAATGTGAACATCCTTTAGCAGATATTAAAAAAAAAACAAGCAAGGCAGATTCATAACTTTTGTAGTGTATTATACATGCTCTTGAAATCCAAGAAAGCATCTTTGATTTAATAATCTGATTCATATTGGTAAATGCTACATGAAAATGTATATTAAAACAGTGTTTAAATATTTTGATTATATTCAAAGCTGCATTAGTAGGAATGATAACATTTATCATCAATATTTCTTTAAGTTTCCTATTCTGTTGTGTGGCAAAAATTATCTGAAATTCCATTCTGAATATCTCTAT